CCCCAAAACCCCAAAACCCCAAAACCCCACATTTTGACCACAAATTGAAACTTTAATTCAAAAATGAAATCCCAACTGAACTCAGAATTAGAACTTTAATTTATTTAAATCTGCTTTCTTCAAAGACCTATCAATCGCTTGATAAGGGATTTATGAGACATCAACCACTAAAGGTACGGTAGCGAATGCCCAGAGAAAGGTTTTAAGCCATGCTACTCACAAAGGATGAGTATTACCGAACATTTAACAAATTTTGCACTTTCAAAGGTTCAAAATAAGTAAAATTGAGCCAATTAATTAACTTTCATTCAAAGTTTGTGGAAAATAATTTGTAGGAATCCTTCAAAAATGTCTCAAACCGCACCAGAATCTATTTATCATAATGAATATGCTTGACTCCAGTCCTCTCCACTTCCATCGTCCCTTCCTGATAAGCTAGTGTGAGATATATGTCAAGAACTCCACCAGCAAAAATCACTCTTGTTCCTGTGAGAAGTTTGCCTAGTCCCAGTACATCAGTTTTGTTATGGACTAGAGTTGACGCGTTACTCCTCAGATGAGCTCAAAGCTTTTAAGGTAGTAGAAATAGACGACGCTAAGATAATTCCGAAAGGATGGGCTTGTCAACGTTGCAAGGAAGGTCATGAAAACTCTGAAGAGAAGGCATGAATCTTATGCAGAAAAACTAAAGGATGTATCACAAAAACAGTACTATCAGGAGAGGAAGTATGGATGCATCTTCAGTGCATGCATTGGCAATTCCATTATTCCTTAAAGAAAAGCTTTTCGAAGGGAACAAAACAAGAACTGGTCAGAGATGAAAGCTACGATGAATTCATTCGTACATACGAGATAGCCAAGGTATGTCAATATTGTAAAGAAGAAGGAATCGATGTTCTCTTTTGAGATACCGAAGGCTGCAAAGCAAGTTTCTGAGCTCGGTGTGCCACTGCAGAAGGCATAATTCAAGGCTCTCGTATCATGAAGAAATTTAGACATCCTGTTGATAAAGGTTCCTATCTGTTCTGTCCCGATCATTGTGAAGAGGGTGCTTTAAAGCTATCTAAATCAGATTTTAAAAACTTTAAAAGTTTCAAAATGCTGATGGTAAATGAAATTAAGCAAGAAGTGCCAGAAAAATTGCCTCAAGAATCACCTGATGGCAAATTTCCATATTTTAATGTAGTAAAGGATGAAATTGTAGAGGACCAGCTTACTAAAGATACAAATATTCCTCAAGAACCTTGAGACAAACAAAAGCCATCCAAATAAGCGAGATATCAAGTCGTGGGCCAAGAAGCAATGCCAAAAGGAAATGCAACAGTTGGATAACGAAGAGGAGCCTAATAAGCAACCTGAACAAGAATCCGAGAAAGAAATCGAGCAAGGATTTGAACAAGAAGCTGAGCCAGTAGCTGAGCCAGTAGCTGAGCCAGTAGCTGAGCCAGGAGCTTCACAAGAGAACAAACAAAATGTTGAACAAGAAGCTGAGCTGGTAAAAAACCTACAGAAGGAGAACTGTACACCGAGAGCGAAGCTAGGAAGACCCAGAAAGGGAAGCAAGAAAAAAAGTTGAGTTAAGCGAGGGCGCCCCAAGAAGAAGCATCTCCAAATTTCTGAAAAATCTGATGGAATTCAAACTATAGTTCAGGAAATATTGAAAAATCAGAGGATGCTTTCAGATGTAATAGAGAATAAAATGAGGAAACATGAGGAAAAGATAGACAGATTGGTACATAGGGTTGAAGAAATGGAGCATATGAAGATGGGTATTGGAGAGATCAAAACAATATGAGAAGGATTTACTCATACCCAAACGAGTAACTTTCAAATGATGAGAGATTATATCTTAAGGTCACAGAACCAGATTCCAAACACGTATTTTCATCAGTATCCACCACAACCTGCATCATTTGCTTCATTTCGGTCATCTCCTTGATATTCTCAGCCGTCTCAACAACCTTATCGGTCACAGGACTCGAGATCTTCCCAAAATTCTCAGACTTCTCAGGGGGGTTCCCTAGGTCCAAAAAGCTACTCTATTTCCCCAGAATTGGCTAAAATCTTGCAGCTCAAGCCAGAAATCTCGGCTGTGGCTTCTTTCTTCTCAGACATAATCCTAGATTACTGATACAAGAATGCTTTAATAAACTGTCAGAACCAGCTTGAGCTCAACAGAGATACCAATTTGACCCAAATTGGCTTAGGAAAGACTTTAAGCAAGGAGGAATTAATCCACGAATTGATTAAGAATAAGCTTTTAAAGCCTTTAAATTAAGTTTTAAATGATTTTTAGAGAGTATAGAATTCAATTTGAAGGGAAATAAGTGGGGTTTTGGGGTTTTGGGGTTTTGGGG